TCCTTCTAATCTGATGGGAAATTTCACATCACAGCTGCCCACCATGTTCTGAATTTTAAAATCCAAAAATTTTGCAGGAAAACCCAGTTTCTGAACAACTCTTGCATACTTCCTTGCTGCCAGTCTGGATTGCTCCTCACTGAAGTAAGAAAAGGATATCCGTATTATTTCCTCAGTGAAGTATTACTTGAAGTGAATAGCATTAAACCACAAATATTTAACTGGGGAAAAAAAAGTCTGTGTTGAGGGGGAGGGGAAGGTCACATGCAAAATTTTTATGACCAAAATTAACAACTAGCACTGGTCTGCATGCTAATTTTGGTACAAATATCCTAAACACCATTAATGTTGTACTCGCTGTTCAAGAGGCAGAAAACAGTAAATTATAAATCTACATATTTCACACTCCTAAAATATCACCCCGAGTCCCTCTAACGAGTCATGAAAACCATTACTTAAGTTTTCAGTGTAGAAGAACTTTGAACTACTGCTGCTAGAAAATGCGTATTTCTATAAAAATCTGTAAGCTGCCAAAATCCTCTGCTTGATTCAGCCCAGGCATTCAAACCTGGGTTTAACGCAACTGCACGGCCCCATGCGCTGCTGCAGAACGCCGCTTGCTTCAGTTTTGTAAACAGCTGAGGATCTGGTTGCTCCTAACACAGAGTCAGACAACTCGAACTCCAAGAATCACCAGGCAAAAGCAGCGCATCCTGTACAGCTCTATGCAGTCATCTCTGCTCATTAGCTTATGCCTTCTGTATTCCCAGCAGGCTTCTTCAGAGCAGAATTTCTCTCCTGCCCACTGGAGTTAAGCTTGTGTTTAGTTTTCAATTTTTATGCTTCAATGATCATATTAAGAACTGATCAGACTATACGGACCAGAGACTTGGAGCTCTTGGCCTGTGATGAATGAAACTATTCAAAGATAAAATTGCTCTTCCTCTGCCACCGCCCCTACAAAGTTTAAGCAGTTCCAGTGCATAGTCATTGAAATTTTCGATACTTAGAATAAAAATAGGTAGCTGCAAAGCCAAGACAGTGAATATAATAACCTCCGCAAACCAGTTTTTCTGACTGTATGAAAGAGCTTCAGAAACAGAACTACCATTTCCCCTTTCATAGGGAAGTCCTTTCAGTCATGAAAAGATGTTTTGTGAAGAAACATATATAGCAGTCTATGTGAAATAATGAGGAAGCAAGTGTAGTTGTACCTGTACAACGTTGTTGTATATATACAAATACCGTATACAAATAATAGTACTTCTAAAACGTCATGGTACAAAGGAAAAGACAGCCTGAATTAGTTTGCTTGTAACTCCTAAGCGTACCTTTTCGCTCCCGTGCACACCATTTTTCCAGAGCTGAATATAAGTGCAGTAGTACGCGGTTCTCTTATTCTCATAATAACAGCAGCGAAACGCTGAAATGTGAGCGTTGGGACTATTAGTGATATATTGCTGTAATCATTACATTAAAACCAAATTTGCATAATCTAAGTAGCAAATTACACTGTATTGCAAAGAAACACTAAGTTCAAACATACTTATGGATCACTTAACATTTACTTGAAATGCTTAAATCATAAGTAGCTTCAAGCACACACACTGAGGGGTAGAGTCAGACAGGAAGGATATTTACCGTTGCATTCCTATTTTACTAAGCTCATCTCTCACTACTGTATATGCAACACAGAAATAATGCTAGCATTTGCAACAGAGCAAGAGAGACAACCTCTAAAATAAAAAAAAAATTCCTCCACGTGTCTTGAAAATTTGATCTGTTATAAGCAGGATGGAAGTCTATCTATCTGCAAATATTTTATGATCAGTTTTGTTTCTGTCTTAAAAGAAATTGGACAGCGTTAGAATACCAGCAAACAGAACAGCTGGAGATCAAAGTTCTGTGTAAACAGAAGTCACCTCAACTACCACAGCAGAACACAGCAGCCCAGGTAGCTCTAGCTTTTTATTCTAAATACTGGAACATCTCTGCCTGCATTTCCAAATACTCTTAAATGCTTTGAAGCAAGAGATACTGGAAACTGATATGGCCATAGAAAGAAACACACCCCACACACACACACACACACACCCACCCCACCCCCCCGCCTGCTATTTTTAACTGGGACCAGCTCACCATGCAGTCCCCAGTTCTGCTGACATAACCAAGGTGGTAGCATGGGTTACCCAACAGCACTTTTGTCAAACTATGGCTTAAATAATACAGCCAAGCAACACCTCTTGCTGACAGATGAAATGTACTGACTAGAAGTCAGGAACGTGTTACATAACCCTTCCTTCTCTCCACTCTGGAACACAGCATTTCCTATTGATTCTTCTCAGCCTACAAGTTTTACACAGCCACCTACCCCTACCTTAAGAGCTACCATGGCATGCTCAAATTTTTGCTGCACTAATATCCTACTCACATGCAATTATGTAACAGCATCACTGTTACAAACTTACAATAACATTTATCACATATGCCTGCACGCATGCTTTAATCTTTGAGAGCAGAGTTCAGGTAAACTGTAGCAAAATCCCAAATACTAAAACAACAAAAAACCCCACACCCCAGGGAAGCTGAAGCCTTCCCCAAGCAAGTCGATTCAACTATACAACATCTAAACTTTTATTAGAAACAGTGTCCAACTACTGTGGTTGCAAAGCTAACATTTCCAAGAGGAGCAGACATCGCTTTCTTGATCAATGCTCCAGGCCCTCTGTTGTTCTTCTAAGTTTCCTGAGCTAAAAAATCCTATGGTTTAACAAACTGCTATTTAGAAGCAGCAGGCAACTTAAAAGTCAACACAAAAAAAAAAAAAAAAAAAAAAAAAATCAATTTCATGTTGCTGTTCCACCAAACCTAGCCATCAGGAGCAAGGAGATGGCGGGAGGACTGGGGGCAAACAGGTAGGAATGGAGCTCAGAGGGGAGGCAAGACTGTAAAAAAAGAGTGACTGTGCTGCGACCAGGTGAGCAGCCAGGTGGAGGAAGCCACAGCATATGCAGAACAACCGAGGCTCTGGCAGGAGCCCAGGAGTTGAATTCTTCCTTCCTTTCTCCTTACTGGGAGACAGGGTGCAAGGCTTCGCCATCGGACGTCTCACAGTAATATGCAGAAGGAACTTTCTGAGCACTACGAACAAACATGCCCATACGAATAGCAGCGGAGGCCAGCTCTACAACAAACAACTTTGCCAGCATATTCCTAAACATGCTGTGTTCTTTCTAAATCTACCAAATTACAACCTGGTGTTAAACACAGCCATATCAGTTCCAGGTTTATTAAAGATTTCTTAACTACAGTATAAAACTGCATCTGTAGGAGTAAGGTTTTTCAATCTGTTACAGCAAACTACACCCACAGCCTGTGCCCTTCACGTATCTGTTACAGGATGAACTCCAATACATCTGTCTTACCTTGGGATTATATTCAGCATTTCGGGCACGAAGCGCAATAGTTTTTAGGTCAAGTTTGCAACCAAGATTCACCGTGGACACAATATTCCTGAAGATAGTTCAGAGAAATACATTAGAAAGACAACAAACTCATGCGTCTTCCTCATTTTTAACCATGCTTGATTAATTTTATCTGGGTTTTTTGTGTTTTTCTTTTAAATTCATTTCTCTGAGGGAGTCTGAATTACATCTTCCCTACTGACAGGAGCACTGAGCAGTGTTTTGGCTCAGAAACATCCTTTTGTAGGGCGGTAGCTTTTCAGGCATGATTGCTGATTCCTCCTTATCTGCCAGTTATTATGAAAAATGTCTCATGAGAAGAATTTCTATTTCAGTTTGGCAAGAAAAATTCTTGATGTTGAGAACTCCCACAACAATCACGGAAGCTGCTGGAAACAGGAGAAAATGAGGCAGCAATAGTACCACCTGAAAGCTTCCTTGGTGTGCCTCTCAAGGAGGAAGAAGTAGTGCAGGACAAAGTGGGAATGACCCAGGAGGTAAACCCATTGCCAGGTGACAGAAAAGCAGGTCTCTAGAAAGTTTACGAGAAGTTCCTAGATGCAAAATTTCCTTGGAAACTTGCTTTCTGGGAAAACCCTGAAATCTAAAGGTCCTCAATGAGGAAAAAAAAACTATGAGGAACTACTCTTCCAGTGCAAAATTCGTGTTATCAACCATTTCTCTTTGGGCCTTCCATAATTGCTGTAAAAGTGTCTTTAAAACTAAAGTTTGGTAAAAATATTTTCATACCTAAACCTAGAATTAGTTCTAGTTTTTTTTCCCCTTATCACAAACTCAGCTGTAGCCACGAACTAGAAAACGGAACATGGAATAAAGTACAACTCAGCTCTAGCTCCTAGACTAGCAACTAGTTTCTTCCCCTCTACCCTTCTAATTCCCTTTCAGCTGTGATAGTTCCTGTATTCTGCTCACTAACAAAACTCTATGTACAGTGGAGCTGTTTGCAAAGTGGAGCTATTTTCTTTTCTGTGAACAAGTCACAAGTATCCAGTAAATTACAAATGAGAGTGTATTTCAAGGTATACATATTTTGAAATACCAGATTATCAACCTAGACTACTTTATAGGTAAAGCATGACGAACTCCTAAAGTGCATAGAATTAAAAGTTACAATGGTGCTAAACGAAGACATATATACATCCCGCTTGGTGGACACGGGAAAGGCTGTAGATGTAGTGTACCTGGACTTCAGTAAAGCCTTTGACACTTTCCCACAGCATTCTGCTGGAGGAACTGGCTGCCCATTGCCTGGACAGGCACACTCTTCACTGGGTAAAAAACTGGCTGGATGGCTGGGCCCAAAAGATGGTGGTAAATGAAGTTAAATCCAGCTGGAGGCCGGTCACAAGTGGTGTGCCCCAGGGCTCAGCGTTGGGGCCATTTCTGTTTAACATCTTTATCAGTGACCTGGATGAGGGGATCAAGTGCACCCTCAGTAAGTTTGCAGATGACACCAAGCTGAGTGGAAGTGTTGATCTGCTTGAGGGTAGGAAGGCTCTACAGAGGGATCTGGACAGGCTGGATCAAGGGGCCAAGGCCAATTGTATGAGGTTCAACAAGGCCAAGCACCAGGTCCTGCACTTGGGTCACAATAACCCCATGCAACGCTACAGGCTTGGGGATGAGTGGCTGGAAAGCTGCTTGGCAAAGAGGGGTCTGGGGGTACTGGTTGACAGCCAACTGAATATGAGCCATCAGTGTGCCCAGGTGGCCAAGAAGGCCCATAGCATCCTGGCTTGTATCAGAAATAGCATGGCCAGTAGGACCAGGGAAGTCACCCTTCCCCTGTATTCCGCATTGTTGAGGCTGCACCTCAAATACTGCATTCAGTTTTGGGCCCCTCACTACAAGCAGCACACTGAGGCACTAGAGCATGTCCAGCAAAGGGCAGCAAAGCTGGTGAAGGGTCTGGAGCACAAGTCTGATGAGGAGTGGCTGAGGGAACTTTGGTTGTTTAGCCTGGAGAAGAGGCTGAGGGGAGACCTTATTGCCCTCTACAACTGCCTGACAGGAGGGTGTAGCCAGGTCAGTCTCTTTTCCCAAGTAACAAGTGATAGGATGAGAGGAAATGGCCTCAAGTTGTACCAGGGGAGGTTTCAATTGGATATTAGGAAAAATCTCTTCACCGAAAGGGTTATCAGGCACTGGAATGGGCTACCAAGGGAAGTGGTCGAGTCACCACCCCTGGAGATATTTAAAAGATGGTGCTTAGAGACATGATTTAGCAGTGGACAGGTACAGTTAGGCTCAATGATCTTAAAGATCTTTTCCAACCAAATGATTCTATGATCCTCCACTAGTATGCTTAAAAGATGTATGGTTGACAAATCACTAAGAAACTGCTGATATTACTAAATGGTTTAGTAACCAAGCTAAGCTAAACATAAAAGCAAAAATGACTCATATAGCTAGAGGAGACCCACAAATTCTCAGGACCTCCCTTTCCACTCAAACGCAGTACCCAGTTCCTGATGTGGCTTTGGTCCCAAGTCTTTAAAGGGCTATCTGAGAAAAGAACATGCTGCACCAAGACATGGGACACTCACTGTAGCTGTGGCACTATCCCAGAGCTCTCGGATGCCGGGGTTGCAGGAGTTATTGGAGTCATCGGAGTCATTGGAGAGGGGTACAGAGGTGTGGTTCCCGGTAAAGGGGCTGTGGTAAGAGTCTGTGAGTGGAAGAGCTGGGGAGTTTGACCAGACGTTCCCTGCGTCGCTTGCTGTGATGTAGATTGCTGTGCTGCTTGCTGCTGCTGCTGCTGCCGCTGCTGTTCCTCTAGGATGGACAGACTGTTGGTGCTCTGGACAGGCTGTGGTGTCAATCCGGTGCCATATGGCATCATTGGGCTAAAAATTGGAATTCCTGGAGTCATTGCACCCTGAAGAAAGTGTGAAACAGAAACCACAAATCCAGTTGACTCCATATTGGTTTTAAGAGAAAGGAGGAGTCTAAAAATAAATCAGTGTTGATTATATCAAACCTGAGACGTAGAGTAGTAACCTGCTAAAAACAGAAAGCCCTTGGAGATGCACCTCTTCTATAAAAAATTGGAATTCCTGGAGTCATTGCACCCTACAGAAGAAAGTGTGAAACAGAAACCACAAATCCAGTTGACTCCATATTGGTTTTAAGAGAAAGGAGGAGTCTAAAAATAAATCAGTGTTGATTATATCAAACCTGAGACGTAGAGTAGTAACCTGCTAAAAACAGAAAGCCCTTGGAGATGCACCTCTTCTATACAAGACAATATTACCTCTAGGGATCCGTCAGTTCCAGCGTTGTTGTTCTCCAGCCAGCGATGCTGATACGCTTCTTGGCCTACCTCGCAAGCATGTCTCAACTTTGACCCATAATTTAACTTGCAATGTTTTGAACAAAGACTGTGCTCATCATACCAAATGCATTCATAGCACAGTGACAGTCCATTATCTGTAAGTTAGTTTAAAGGGCAACCATCAAAATTAAATTAGTATTTCCAACTTGCCAGTCATGTTTCAACTTAAAGGAATCCCATATTATCTGTGCGTTTCTTACACCTCTGGATACACAAATTGATGGGTTTAAAATTCTGCTTTATACTGGTATTATTCTATACCTAGCAGAATTTTTCAGATCTGCAGACAAAAACCCCACAGTTACATGCAAGAAACAGAAAACACTTTCACAAAGAAATTCAGATCACAGTTGCATGTTAAATCATTTGTTTTTACCTGAGGGGAGGCTAAGCCTTGAGCGTAGGTTGGCAAGCTATTGTTCTGATCCATGATTCCAGTTATTTCTTTGGTGAGGCCAGACGTATTTCCTTCAATTAATTTAAATGAACTTCAAATCCAAAAGGGTTTTTAACCCTTTAAAACATTCCAGCAAAGTAGCTTTTTAGGCCAAGCTGAAAATGTTAGGAAAACATCAGCTCCAGAGAAATGTATGTTATGAGTCTAAAATACTAATCAAAGCCTGAAAAGAAAAAAAGTAGTATCTTGAGAATAATGTCTAAACACAAAACCAAAAGCAAACCTATGAGCTGCTGAGTTAGATAAGATACACCCACATACAAATATATATGTAAGAACATATGCGTACACACACACGCGCTCACAATCCATAAAAATAACCTTTTTCAGGCACGTTCTATAGAACCTTTGCAGCCTGCTTCTGCTGAAGCCCCAGCAGGTACTCACATGAGCAGGGCTCTGTCTAACCAAACCCTCCCGCGCAAACAACTCAAGCTGTTAATGCTCAGTCTACTCCAAGCTTTGCTTTAGCTGGAAAAGCACTGATTTTTTTAGAACTGAATTCCACTGACTACTAACCAACAAGCTGACTGACACATTCCTTGTAAGTCTCTTCCTGGCCATTTTAAGGCTTGGGCTTCCAAAAATACTTTTTCTTCTATGGGAAAAGTATCGCTGGTCAAATCAGAACTAGGTAACCCTCTTCCATCCACTTCCATAAAATGAAGCACTAACACATTTCAAACAACAGTGACATGCGCTTTATGAGGAAAAGAGAAATACGTGAAAACCAATTTCAGGTACACAAGTGAAATGTATGCTTTTTTTTTAACTATACCTCTGTTGCTGTGTTATCGAAATAAACAACACCAGTGGAGAATTTAAATGTTAAACCTCGATATCAATTATTTTTCCATTAAATTATTGCTTTCTTAACTACATACCTATTGCCTAGAAATACTCAAGGTCATTTTTAGCCTAGAGATAGACCACCTCAAAATCTGAAGAAAGCCTATTCAGCTTTTTTTTTTTTTTCCCAAAAGGTATGAGAACCCAGAATTACATTCATTTTTATACTGCAGCTGAAAAGGTACACTTTTTTTTTTCCTGTGACCATAAGATAACATTCTCTTCACCCTCACTGAAGGTATCACACAGAGCATCCAGGTTTTACAACCTGGAGACGGGGGTAAATTAGAAGCCCAAACATTACCCCGGAAGAAACAAAGTCAACTCCTCGACAGCCCAAGCTGTTTAGCCTCAAGTCTGGATGCCAGGCAAGCCAGAACCCGCAGTCGGGACACACCACCTGCGCCGAGGTCCATCTTGCAACCCCCTAACTGCGGCTAGCTCGCACCTCCACGACAAACGCTGGGGAACGTTTCCGTCGAGGCAAGAGACGGCCGGAGAAGGCCCGGTCCCGGTCCCGCCCCCCGGGCCCCCTCTCGGCGCCTCTCCCCTAACACACAGCAGCGCTGGGGGAGAGCCAGTTTCGCCCT